CCACAGAAACAGAGCTATCACAAAATATGACTACAATACCTTGACCAAGCCCTCAGTGGTTCAAAAGTCAAAACATCCCTTTATAAGAGAGTCATAAATTTTATTGAGCCAAGAAGTTGGTCAGAGTGTTCAAAACATTTCTTCATTAGAAGAAGTGTTTAATGTCCAAGGTAGTGAGCGAGACCCTTCTTCCTTTTCTAGTATTAGAGTGCCTTTTATGATAAAATCCATATTTTCTTGAAACTTTTTATATGTGTTGGTGATTGGTAGAGCTAAACTGTTTCTACATTTGTTTCCAACAGGAAAATCCATATGTAAACATTCAATTGAAGGAGAGGGTTTAAATCCAGCAAGTGGAAAGGATCTATATCCAGTTGCAAAAATAAGAATGTCTTCCATTGTTGTTGCAGATTTACCATCCTCGACAGCCTGTAAGTAACTCTTCCAAAACCTCAAAGTTTGTACATCTGGTAATCCATGGAGAGTGAAAAGATCACTGAGATCTTTGCAGAGAGAGTCTCAGGTTTATGACAGAGGATGTTATAAAAGACTTCTGGATAAGTTTGAATTTTCTCTAAGACACCAGGCTTTTTCAGACCCTGTTTAAAACTATCAAAGGGTGCTTGGACTCTCTGAATTATGTGGTAGAAAGGGATGTCTTTTACCAACATGTATTTATCACTTCGTGTTGTTATAAGTTTTAAACATTCAATAAACTCTAAGTAACTAGAGCATTAGCTTACTATTGAGTTCAAACTGTTCATAGTGGTTGCAGTATTTATCTTGATTATAATTTGTGCCACATCAAAGTCTGAAACATCAGCCAAACTTGGTAGAGTATTTTCTGGTCCATAAGCAAGAAAAGAAACCGGGTGAAGGACCACCATAAACTAAAGAAATGGCAAGCATTTTGCCAGCTTCATAGTAAAGGCTCTGTTTCAGAGCTTGAGAATTTAGAGTCAAGTTCTTTGACAAAGACCCTTCAAACAGAGATGAAGTCTCAAGATGTTGCATTAAGTGGCTCAGAAATTCCTTCTTTGATCCAGGATGCTCTCTTCCAAAGTTATCATTTTCGCTAACGTACACTACTCCAGTGGTGTATGAAGGGTTAAACTTCTGATTCCGGAACTGCTCTAAGGCACTCCTCCACACATTGGCTTTGTTGATATGTAATCTCTTAGCCTTCTCTTTAATTTGGAATCCTAACTCTATCAATATTGTTGAAATGTCTCTCCTAAATTTGATATCTTGCCTCTGTGTTAAACAGGACTCTTTTATAGAGGGGCATGATGTGCTTGATAATTGAACTTTTTGCTTTAGTCTCAATAATTCTTTATTCTGGCCTCCAGCTGACTGTCTGGGGAGCTTAGGTGATGACTCTTCTAACAGGCAATCAGTAACTGTCACGTTAGTAGACTTGGCTAATGGGTGTTTAGGAGCCTTTCGGGAATCTGAATTGTAGGTGATTCTTCTACAGTCCAAACACTCCCAGTTTTGTTCCAGTGACTGTAGTGTGGGACAGGCTAAGTGTGTTCTGCTAAACCACCACACTGACAGCGCTTTATTTCCCATTTGCTAGTGGGTTCATTATAGTCTTACATTTTTTTTTGCAATGGCATCTTTGAACATCACAGCAGTCATGGCTCTGCAACAGCTTTTGATAGGCATTTTCTTCTAATTCTCAGGATGCATCCTTTTCAGGAATATGAATTCCCATTCTCAACATCTCTTTCTGAAAGATGTCGGCATAGTGTACACCTAAAGAAATACACTCCAGCATTTATTGCTTGAACCTATAAACAGTCTCTGTGAAATGAAGCATTCTTACAACAGGGACTCAGCAATATGTTGTAAGTTGGAAGAGACCCGATATATTCCAAACAGATGGTACACTGAAAAGTGTCTCGGTACTTACTAGATGTAATTACTTGAACCGATCAATGTTTCCAGCAAAATGATGCAAAATTGCCAGTAAACTGGAAAATACATTCTTTCTGAAGTCCACAGGGCAAGTGATAACTTCGTTTACATTTTGGTACAATACATCCAATTGAAGCTCCATTTTCTTGCAAACTGTACACCAGTTTAGCAGCTCTATTGACTTCCTTCCTGATGTCTTCTACCAGAAAGCCATAAACTCCTTCTTCTTTACCTCTCTGCCAAATTCCACTTGACATTAACAAGCAGTAGAAATGGACACTAAAACTCCATTTTTCATAAGTTTTCTTGTCTCCATATTTATTGGGACAATCATCATTTTTGACAGAAAATACAAGTAAGATTTTGTGAGTTATCTGGTTTATTTTCATTCATTTTACAGGCACCGAGCATTAGTTCCCTCTTTATTAGTTTTTAACAAGGAGCTCTCACTTTACATTCTGCAATTGGCTCTGAAAATCATATTGTTTATCAAGTTTGACCTGTAGCTCTGCATAAACAAAGCATGGTGTTCCACAACTAATACTATCTTGAAAAAAATCAAAAACGTATTACAATGTGTTGTTGAAATGATCGTTTCAACATATCCCCTTCCTAGCTAGACTTGTTTCTTTTAGAATCGGACTATGGTCTTCTGTAGAGACCAGTAGCTGTTCTGAAAGGGCTAGAAGCTGAAGATTTTAGACTGCAGATATGGCCTATGGGGATCTGTATTTGTGGTAGGAAGGAGGCTCTAGACAACAGATAACACAAGTGCCTGAAGTGGGATTCCTGTAAAACAATGAGCGTGGAGACTGAAACTAGAAATGGAGAAGTTTTCAGATATAACAGATCTCTTTAATTTTAAGTCATTAAAAATATTAAGCTGTTGTTACTCTGTGAGCACTTGTCCCTCAGGCTATGGTTTGCTGATATGAACATCATTTTAATCTGTGCTCAGTGGATAGCAGGTTTTCAGGACAGATTGCTAACTGTGGTTCCAATAGCAGCAGCAGCAGCGAAGCTCCCCAGGCTAACACAGTTTACATCTCTATCAGCTTTCTCTTCATGTAGGGACGGCAGTTAGAGTGAACTAGAGTCCAGCCCACTGACAGCAGTTTTACATTAATTACCTCTTTGAAGACCCCACCTTCAAATATAGTCACATTCTTAGGTACAGAGAATTAGGATTTCAACATATGAACTTGGAAGGGAAACAGCTCAGCCCATAACAGAGACCATCCAGGATGCACTCCACCCATGTTGGCACTGAAAGACCTCTGAAAAGCAGATTAACAGATTGATTCAAGTGGCCAAGCTGCTGGTGTTCTCCATCTGTTCACCTTGCTCATGAGAGACACCTGTTCTTAGAAGAGACCTCCCTTCTTACCTTGCTGTATATGGTCCCTTTCCCACTGGAGCAAGCTGATCATGGAGGGCTATAGCCTCCTTTATAGTAGTGCATGTGGAACCCAGCCCAGTACTTGAATTGCGTCATCAATATCCTGCTTCATTAAGCAGCCTTCATTACTCATCCCCCTTGACAGCAGTGCTGCTCACCTCATATGACCTGGCAGCATGATCAACATGACTTTCCGTCCATGGCATCCTGTTAAGAGTCAACTCCTCTGCCTCAAGCCTTTACCCCTTACAGGCAGGGTCCTGTCTCAGTTTAAATTGATCTTGCATGTAGAAGCCACCTTCTGACTAAGCAGGAAACCCCATCATTGCATATTATCAAGGTAGCCAACAGTTATTTTCCTCTGTAACACATATTTCCAGTCTCAACACTAAGCTGCAGATACCTTAAGGAACACACCCTAAAGATACTTTCAATAGTCAATAATGTGCCGTGAGAAGTGTGGCCTAGCGACATCTGCCGTTTATGTCACTGTGACCCATCCAGTTTGTTGCTCCTGTTCATGAAAAGGTGAAGAGAGTGACAAGAGGGTCTATGGCATGGTTTTGGAGTCTTCAGCCCATGATAATTTCCATCAGCATCTCTCTCTTAGCCACTTTATGCAATTGTGAGTTCTCAGTGAGATGATGTCAAATAGGGTTTTAAAGCATCAAAGTGGGAGCTATGAACAGGTCACTTCTGTAGCACTTTGAGAGACAGTTAGAGTGGGATTTTGTTGGATATGTCCCCTTTCTGTTAGCTCAACCCACCCAAGGAAGGCTTTTACCCTCTCCTCCACCTTGGTACCAAGGACGCTGAGAGGGGAAAAGCTGGCCCAGAGTGAAAGGCAGCTGGTCCAGTCATTCTAGCAATGTCACTGTTAGATGCCATGGAAATTTCCCTAAGGAAAGTGATGACCTAACTACTCCCACCCTGAAAAAAATAGATGAAGTTATCTTGAGAAGGAAAAGTCAATACACACGGAGATAGAGATTTAACAGAGGTTTCGATCAGGGCACAAAGGCCCTGTGTTAGACACACAGACATTTTTTCCTGCTCTTCAATAACATTTCTACAATCCCAGAACTTGGGAGGCAGGAGGATCAAGAATTCACAGCTAAGATAGGCTATTATTAGTGAAGTCAAGGCCAGCATATATATAGCTTGTATATATGTGTCTGTGTCTGTGTATATGTATATGTATGTACATGTGCATGAGAATACTAGCAGAAGCCAGAAGAGGATATCAGATACCCTGGAACTGGAATTGAAGGTGGTTATGAGCCATCTGATGTGTGTACTAAGAATTGAACCCCGGTCCTCTGCCAGGGTAGCAAGTACTCTTAAGCCATCTCTTATTCAATTGCTTTTGGGAGTCAGGCAGTAGCCTGTCTTAAGTTAAAGTCCATATATGTATCCCTGGCTGACCAGGACCTCATTATATAGTCCAGGCTGGCCTGAAACTCACAGAGATCTACCTGCCTTGTCTCCTGAGTGCTAGGATTAAAGATGTGCACCACCACCACCTGGCTTCATTTTCTTATTGTAATGGGAACATTTCTGGTGGAAATCTGGTGTATCATTGTTTGTTTGTTTTGTTTTTTAAGGTTTATTTATTTATTTATTATGTACACAGTGTTCTGCCTGCATGCCAGAAGATAGCACCAGATCTTATTACAGATGGTTGTGAGACACCATGTGGTGCTGGGACTTGAACTCAGAACCTCAGGAAGAGCAGCCAGTGTTCTTAACCTCTGAGCCATCTCTCCAGCCCTGGTGTATCACTGTTAAGAAATAAAGATATATATTAGCTGAGCATAGTTGGGCAGATTATAATAAAAAGTACTCAGAAGACTGATGCAGAAGGATCTCAGAGTAGATCCTAGCCTGGGCTGCATCTGGGAATCCTGTCTCAAAACAAAACAAAACAAAACAAAAACCCACAAACATACAGATGTGTATATGTGACTTATGCTTGGGTTAAAATATCCTTTTATTTCTATTTCACTAAAATTATCCTTATCAATAATTGATTTTTAAGCCATGCATGATATTGTATGCCTTTAATCCCAACACTCTAGAAGCAGAGGCAGGTGAATCTCTGAGATTGAGACCAGCCTGGTCTACAGAGAAAGTTCCAGGCTAAGTAGGGCTACATAGCGAGACCCTGCCTTAAAGTATAGTAAGTATTTACAGTTTCCTCATAGCTTAAATTATCATGCTGACTTGTTCATCACAGCTCTATGTTTCTGTTATTTTAGGCTTCACTTCAAGGCCAGTAGGCTCACATTGAGCCTCCATTGATAAGTATCTGATGTGTTGTCTGCCACTTACTGACCAGCTTATTTATTTATTTTATTATAGGTTTTGTTTGTTTTTGCATTTTGATACAGGGTCTCATGTATCGTAGTCTGGATTTAAAATTGTTCTCTAGCCAAGGGTGACCTTGAATTCCTTCCTGATTCTCCAGCCTCCACTTCTCCAGCACTGGGATGATAGGCATGTTCACACAGTGCTGGGATTGGAATACAGAACTCCCCTCTAGGCAACTACTCTATCAGCCGAGCTGTATTCCCAGCCCAGTATACAAGCTAACTAAATTTGATCTGAAATATTCACTGAGCATCTGTATGTGGTCAGCCCTGTCTCACTCAGCTGAGGTGAGTATCCATGAGAAGCATAATATAGATAGAAAGTTTACAAATAAGTAAGGATGAGACCAACTTTTATTTTTTAAAATGTGATGGAGGTAGCTCAATGGAAAGAGCAGCAGATTGTGCATCTGAAGATTAGTGGATGCAGGTGTAGCTCAGTGAAAGAGCAATTACCTGGGTTGCTTGAGGCCTTGAGTTTAATCCCTAGCACCAAAATAGAAGAAACACCATGAAGTGTTGTGGAACATTATTTTAAGATGTGTTACATTCGTTTATGCTGTGGAATAGTCGGTTAGTGATCCAAAGATGTGTTGCATTCTTTTATGTTGAATGTGTTTAACTCTGTAAAGCTGTGTTACTTTGTTTAGAACACCTGATTGGTCTAATAAAGAGCTGGATGTCTAGTAGCTAGGCTGGAGAAAGGATGGGCAGGATGGCAGGCAGAGAAAATAACTAGGAGGAGAACTTGAGGCTCAAGTGAAGAGAAGAGCTAGGACCAAGAAAAGAAAAAGGAGGAGAGGAGGATGCCAGGGGCCAGCTAGTCAGCCACACAGCCAGCCATGGAGTAAGAAGGAAAGCAAGACATATAGAATAAAAGTAAAAAGCCCAGAAGCAAAAGGTAGAGAGGATAATTTTAGTTACAAAAGCTGGCTAGGCTAAGGCTGGGCATTCATAAGAAAGAATAAGCTTCCTTGTATTTATTTCAGAGCTGGGTGGCAGACCCCCCAGAAAAGCAAAGAAGAGTAAAAACAAGCAACAACAATGAAGTGCCAAAGGAACACAGAAAATCCAACCACTGGAGTTTGAGTGTCTGTGCTAGCAGATAATAATAATCCTGCTTTCTTCGTGGAATGCATATGAAGGGGCGGGTGGAGAATAATACAGCCAGACCCTCCGAGGGCATGGCTCAATTACTAGACAGGGTAGGGCAGCAGGGCTGGAGAAGGCTGCAGAAAAGTTCAGTGCTTCCCATGGCCCTGTGGCCCCAACATGCACTCATCCATTCCAAATCAAAAGTAAAGTGATTCCATGTCACTGCAGTTAGAATAGCCATTATGAAAATACTGAGAGTTCTTACTGATGGAGATGATGAGTAAAGGGAACTCAGCTTCAGCTACAGTTGGAAAGGACACAAGTTAACAAATACACCCTGGAAAACAATCTGGGGTCCTCAAAAAAAAATTAAGCCCACAACTTCCTTATGATCCAACCATCCCTGGATATATCCCTGCAGGAGATGACATTGGTATATGAAATGAGGAGATGTTGGCCCTGCCATGTTTACTGCAGTGCTAATACACAGTAGCTGTCTTAGTTACTGTTCTATTGATGTGAAGAGACACCGTGACCAAGGCAACTTAACACTAAAAAGCCTTTAATCGGGTGCTTGCTCGCAGTTTCAGAGGGTTAATCCATGATCGACAAGGTGAGAAGCATGTTGACAGGCAGGCAGGCATAACCAATATGAACTTTGAGTTTTCTCCCCTGCAGATGATTTTTGTTTACTTCATGGAAAGGTAATCACTACTCCTTGGAAGTAAAAATTAACTCAGATGAACTGAGTGTAATTTTGACAACATTATAGTCTTTAATATTTTTAAAAGAATTCATATGCACGAGTGTTTTACCTACATCTATGCCTGTGCAACACTTCATGCAGTGCCTTTGGAGACCTGAAGAAGGCATGGGAACCCCTGGAACTGTAAGTACAGACAGTTGGGAGCCAGCATATGGATGATGGGAATTGATTCCAAGTCCTCTGGAAAAGCAGCCAGTGTTCTTAACATCTGAGCCATTTCTTATCCCCTAACACTATGCTCTTTTGTTTTTGTTTTTTAAGACAAGGTCTCTCTACATAGCCCTGGCTGTATTGAAACTTATTATGTAAACTGGGCTGACCTCACATATATGAAACTCAGCCTCCTAAGTAATAGAATTTGAAGGCATGAGCCCGCCATACCCAGTGTATTGGCTAGTTTTATGTCAACTTGACACAAGCTATAGCCATCTGAGAGGAGGGATTCTCAATTAAGAAAATGCCTCCATACGATTTGCTGTAGCCTGTAGGGCATTTTATTAATTAGTGGAGGGGTGCCCAGTTGATTGTGGCTTGTACCATCCCTGGGCTGGTGGGCCTGGGTTCTGTAACAAAGCAAACTGAGCAAGCCATGGGGAGCACGCCAGTAAGCAGCATCCTTCCAAGGACTGCATCAGCTTTTGCCTCCAGGTTCCTGCCCTGTTTGAGTTCCTGGCCTGACTTCGATGATACAAGGTGAAATGGAATCATAAGCCAAACAAACCCTATCCTCCCCATCCTGCTTTTGGTCATGGTGTTTCATCCCAGCAGTGACCCCAATAAGACATCTGGCTTTTCTTTTTTGATGAGTCTTTTGAATATGCCAGTTTCATATTATTTTCTCTTTATGTCATTCCCAACAGTTTTGGGCCTTGTAGAATTCCAGTGTAAGAGTAGGATTATTCAATTATATTCAACCATCAAATAATCATGGGATATGAGAAATTTTAAAATGCACCACATTGTAGGTCATACATGCCAGGAAATTTCAGTTCATGCAGACTAGAGAGGAATGTTAAGAATGTGAAAAAATGCTAGAGACATAGATGAAGGTGAGAATCCAAAGCTAGCAGGATGTCAGTTTTAAAACTCACCTAAAAAGCAATAGAAGGGTTTCTTACAGGAGAGGCTGATCACAAAGGAACTATAGTAAAGGTTAAGATGCTGAAGAATAACAGCTCACAGTGAAAATAAACACCCATCGAGGTAGGCCATGGCTAACTAAAAGGGACTTGCCAATAGGATGGCTCAGAGGAGCATGGGAAGGGTAGGATTGCTGTAGATACATATGTGGATGAAGCCAGGATGGGTTCAGCTCTTCGAGAACAGAGTGGATTCTCTGATACTGGCCCTGCAGTGGGGTGCGAGTAAAGATAAGAATGTGGGAATTACTTTAGTGTAAATGACAAGGGGAAGGATCATAGAAATCACAGAGGTCCATCTGCCTCTACCTCCTTAGTGCTGGGATTAAAGGTGTGCACCATTATGCCCAGCTTAACTCTATATTTTAAAGTGAGAATTTAAGGCATTTACAAGTAATTGTTTGTGGGTCTCAGTTTGTGAATGAGCATTAAGTCAGAGAGTTATGCATATTAATAACAATACTGAACGTTTTGTTATTTCCTAAGAGGTTCAGTCTTACCTTCTGGAACATAATTTTGAAAACTTTGCATGATATTGGTACATTACTCTTGCCTAAAATTCTCAAAGCCATGCACTGAAGTTTGAGGCAGGGGTTTTTGTCTACAAGTACTAATTGGGCACACTGTGGGAGTTTACTCCAAAATGTTTAGTCATGTCCATCCAAACTTCCTTTGTCTGCCTGTATAAAGAAGTGTTGCTTGCAATAGGCCATGTGGTGGTTTGAAAGAAAATGGCCTCCATAAGCTTATGTGTTTGAATGCTTGGTCCCAAGCTTGTGAAACTGTCTAAGAAGGTTAGGGGGTGTGGCCTTGTTGGAGGATTGTGGTCTTGTTGAAGGAGGTATGTCAGTAGGGGTGGGTTTTGAGGTTTCAGAAGCCCATACCTTTCCCAGTTAATTCATTCTCTCTGTCTCAAGATGTAGGCTCTCAGCTACTGCTCCAGTGGCACACTTTCCTGCCTTCTGTCATACTCCCCAACATGATGGCTATGGACTAAAGCTCTGAACTGTAAGCAAGCCTCCAATTGAATTCTTTCTTCTTTAAGTTGCCTTGGTTGTGGTGTCTCTTCACGGCAGTAGAAAAGGCCAAATGCTTTTTGTTTAGATCCTGTCATTTTCATAACAGAACCTTAAATTACTCCCTCTTGATATGTAAAGCATATAAGTTTTTAGTATCTCAACATTTCTATCCTTATATGGTGGCCAGTGACGCAGATTTTGAGCTCACTGCCATGGTGTAGCTGTGAACAGCCTAACCATGAAAAGTGTTTTTTGAGGGTTGTAAAAGATGTTATACAAACTTTCTGTTGCTACAAATCAGAGGTGCTGGATAGGTTGCTTCATGCAACTACTCACCATCCAGTCCCCAGTAGACACTGTTAATCAGTCACGGAAGTTTTTTCTTCTTAGACTAGACACACAGAATTTCACAGCACAATTTATACAGGCAGCTGCTCTAAACAGATCAAAGTTGAAATGTGAATTGAAACCTAGTTGACATCCTAAGGAACAATAATCTGAATGCAAGCATGGAACTGTGTGCTCTACTTAATTAGGCAGGAACATTTGGACAGTATGTAGGCTTTACTTAATGTAGTATACTTTGTGATTGTAACAATGGCATACTTTGAAGGAACCTGTGTGCACTGTTTTGAGTCATCTCAGTCCTTCCACCGTGAGTTCCAGGGATCAATCTTATGTTCTCAGGCTTGCACAGCAAGCACTTTTACTCACGGAACAATCTTGTCAGTCCTGTGATTCTTTAGGCTGTATATTTTATTTTCTGCGTAGCTCACAATATCTGCATTAGAGGCAAGATCTCCTTTGCAGATTGGGAACATCAGGGGAGGGGAGAGGGAGCCAGGAAAAGTAGAGGGGGATAAGAGGACATGAGAAGAAGGTATGGGGGAGCAGGAAGGTTGAGTCAAGGTAAGAATAGAGGAAAGCAGGATGAGTCATCATAGACTTGAGGAGAACGCTGACACTAGTGAGATCTCCAGAGATCTACAAGGATAACACCAACTGGCAAAATAAGCAATAGTGGAGAAACTACAGTTGATGACTACCTTATATGCCATCCTAGAACCTTCATCCAGTGACTGATGGAAGCAGAGACAGATACCCACAGTTAAACACTGAACTGCGCTCCTGGAACCTAGTGACAGAGATGGAGGAGTGATGAGCAAAGGGGTCAAGACCATGATGGTGAAACCCACAGAAACTGCTGACCAGATAAGAGGGAGCTCTTGAATCCCAGACTGATGCCTGAGAGGCCAACAGGGTACAGATCCAGACTCCATGAATGTAGTCTCAATGAGGAGGCCACAGAAATCACTGGGGCCTTAGTTTACGAATGATCTTTGGGAGCCCATTCCGAATAGAGGGATGCTCTCTCAGCCTGGACACATGGGGAAGGGTCTAGGTTCTGCCCTGGATGAAATGACAGATTTTGGAGATCCCCCCAAGGAGGGCCTCACCCTCCCTGGGGAATGATGTGGGGATTTGGTGGGGGGCTAGGGGTGCTTGTGGAAGATCAAGGGAGGAGGGGTGGGAGAGGAAGCTGGAATTGACATGTGAAGCATTCATGTTTCTAATTTAAATAAAAAATTAAAAAACAAAAACAAAAAAACAATATCCTCATTAGAGTTTGAGTTTTTCTTTGAACTAAACATTAAGAAGCACATACTTCCCAAAATCAACTAAAAAAATTGTATTGGGTACTTTTACTGTCTTTGAAACAGCTTAAGAGAAAAAAGATTTATTTTCACCCCCAGTTTCAGAGGGTTTAATCCATCATGGCAGGAAGGGTGTGGCAAAGCAAACACTTCATGACATGGTAGCCAAGAAACAGACAGATGAGGAGTTCCATTTGTTCCAATTTCTTCTCTGTTGCTGTGGTAAAACACACTGACCAAAAGCAACTTAGAAGGGGAAAGAACTGATTTGGTTTATACTCACAGGTCACAGTTCATCATTGAAGGAATTCAAGCAGGAACTTGAAGTGAGGTTTACTCGATATTCCATACAGCGTTACCTTCAACCAAGGAACTAATTCACAGCCAAGGAAGTACAGTAGAACCCATGGAAGAACATTGTTTGCTAGCTCAGTTGCAGATGCATGCTTAGCTGGCTTTCTGTCTAGGAAGTGGTGCAGCCCATAGTAGGCTTGGCCCTACATAAAATAACAATCAAGAAAGTTCCTCCTAGACATATTTCAAACAATTATTTATATTGTTCTATTATTAAATAAAACCCGGGAGTCAGATATCGGGATGATTGATCAGAGAAGGAGCAGAAAAGTGACCAGTGACACCATTCCCCCCCCCTGTCTCTCTGACCTTCCTCAATCCAAAAGGGCCTGGGTATCTTTCTTAAGGCCCTCTCTACTACTCCCTGTGTCACTCTATGTGTCTTTGGTCCTCCAAAACCTCTATGGCTAATTCTGGTCAGCTAGTAGCTAGCTCTGCCCCTCTGATTCAAGGTAACCCTTATTGGCAGTCTCGGGAGTGTCAGAGTGTGATCAAAATATCGCATAACACATATTCACAGGCCAACATGATCTGGGCAATCCCTTAACCAAGACTTCCTTAGGTGAGTCCAGGCTCTATCAAATTGACAGTTAAAACTAACTAGACCACTGGTGCTTGGCTTGCTCATTTTATCCAGTGTGAATCACCTGCTCTTGGTACAGTGCTGTGTGTATTCAGGGTGGGTCTACCCAAGCTTCTCTGGAAACATACTCTTGGACACCTCCACCGGTGTGCTTTACTATCTTCTAAGTGATTTTAAATTCAGTCAAGTTGACAATGAAAAGGAACCATACAAAGAAACCAAGCTGTGGCTTTCATTTTATGAACACTGGGAGAAATCTTAAACTTGTCATAACTCTCTTGGTAGGAGTACCGCGGATGTAGAGTCAACACACCAGTCCAATTTTAATAATTTTTCCCTTGGTGTTCAGAAGCCTGAATTTACTTTTTAATCTTGTTATTGACTACATTGTTTTCTAATTTTAATTTATTTTATCTTTATACATGTATGGATGTTTGCCTGCATGTATGTCTGTGCACCGTGTTTGTGCCTAGTGCTTGAGGAAGCCAGAAGAGAGCATTGGCTCTCCTGGAATTGGAGTTACATATGGTTGTGAACCACCACGTGGGTGCTAATAACCAAACCCGAGTTCTCTGTAAGAGTGGAAAGTACTCTTAACGGATGAGCCATCTCTCCAGCCCCCAGAATAGTTTTTGACCAAATATCTGGTTACCATGTTTCAGCCAAGTTAATGAAGTTATAACCATTACATGTGAAATGTCGCAAAAGAAATTTGCCTCTATTACAGTTCTTTGTTCTTCCCATGATCTTCTCTTCTTCCCAGAAAAAGGCTTCTGTCTCTCTCACTACTGTCCGCTCTCTCTCACAGTTTCCCATTACCTGCCACACTCCCCACCCTTTTTGGGAGACAAGGTCTCACTGTGTAGCCCTCACTTAGACTGAAATTCACTATATAGACCAGGCTGACCTCGAATTTGCAGAGACTTATGCGCTTCTGCTGGAATTAAAGATGTATGCCATCACACCAGGCTTCACTTTCTTTTTATTACCCATTTATTTTTTTCTCCCATAGGTCCTCATTTACTCATAAAATTCTTTGTTCTCACTCTTTTCTCATTATCCACTCTTTCTCAGTTTCCCACTCTCACACACAATCCCCCATTATGTTCTTCAGTTCTTTCTCTTACACAATTGCAATTGAAACATGTTACAAATGAGGCAGGGTTCTCAGGGCCAGAATAAGGTTAATCAAATGTTCTGTTGTGATATGTTCTTTCAAGTACAACAGTTTAACTGTTCCCATCTTCAAGCCAGAAATGAAATAGGAGGCAAGAAAGAACCGATATGAAATCATAATGCCTTTATTATTACGGTATGAAGAAGTACAGCCATCCAGCAAATCACACAGTTATGAGGGCAGGAATTGTGTTTTTGCGTGCATTTGAAAAGGTAGGTACTCACTAAAGATTTACAGGGCATTTGTTGCATGAACTGCTATAATATGTCTTTCTGTAGGCTGGAGAGGTGACTCAGAAGTTTAAGAGCACCAGATATTTTTCTAGAGGTCCTGAGTTCAATTCCTGGCAACCACAGAGTGGCTTATAACCATCTGTAGTGGAATTTGATGCACTCTTCAGAATAAAGGCATACATGCAGATAGATAAATAAATCTTTAAAAAAGAAATTTAAAAAAAATCTGTTTGCCACCCAATAATATTCCTGCTAATGGAATTGTGAAGACCTGTTAAATTTAAAGCTTGTTACTGTCTAGTCACATCATGTTAAACTACCTAAAATGTGATTTGAGATACATACATGCTTGTACTATGAACAGTAAGCACTAGGATATGTTGGGTTTTATCGCCTACTACTCATTTGTAAACAAAGACAGTTGCTTTAAGAAGTAATTATAAGCTCAGCAGTGGCAGCACACGCCTTTAATCCCAGCACTCAGGAGGCAGAGGCAGAGACGGCTCAGAAGTTAAGATTACTTTGTGGTCTTGCAGAAGACCGGGGTTTGGTTCCCAGCACCCACATGGCAGCTCACAACCACCCATAATTCCATCTGCAGAGGACCCAATGCTTTCTTCTGACCTCTATGGGAAGTAGGCATGCATGTGGTGGTCATATGTTCATTCAGACAAAGCATTCACACTCATGAAAACGAAATTTTTAATCTTAAAAAAACTTTAAGGAAAGAAATGTTCATCCATGGTAAAGAAGAGGGAGGTGACTAGTGACTATTAAATCCTATTCACCTATCCTCTTCTTGCTACATCTTCCCTTTTGAATTTTATATCTTTGGGTGGTCACATCTCAGCTGGAGCTGGGGCAACATCAAACTATACGAACCTTGAGGTTTGTCTTATTTGCCAGAGGAGCATCCACACCGTAAATACGATTTGAGTCAGGGATGTAAATGCAAGGGCAGCAAGCTGGTTGTAACTTCTTGGACTGGAAGGAGGAAAGATAACTGGGTGTGTACTTTCACAACCAATTTCAGTTAGATTAATGTCAAGACCCTCAGCCCCTTCATAGCAAGAGGACACTGGTTGCCTAAGAAAAATCATCTGTAAGAGACTACAGGAATTAGAGGAGCCTGCTTATTTGGTACTTCTGCCTTGCATTTAAAGTCAGATAAGGCCAGAAGGCTAGAAGCACAGTTTCACAGTTCCGGTTTAAAGGATATGAAAACTCGTTGAAAGGAACATGAACTCACAGTTCAAGTTCACAGGATGTTTAGAAACTTGGATACATTGAGCTGAAAGATAGCGGGAAAAAACACGTCCAACGTTTCGACCTTAGCATGTCAAAATCATGATATTCAGAGATGGATGACACTTGAGGAAAGCCACTTTTTAGACTTAGAGGATTTTAGGCCAGCAGTCTGATGTTATCCAAGAACTATTCCTTTTATCCCAAAAAACGTTGCCTGCGGCCGGCAAAAAGAGGGAGGCAGGGGTGGGGTGCATGAGGAACTCAGAGGCGTGACTCCGTCTTAGGGGCGTGGCTTATGTCAGAGGGGTGTGTCAGGGCGGAGAGCAGAGGCGCTCCAGGTCTAATGGGGCGTGACTAGGGCGGTCTCTGAGGTTTTTGCAGTGCTGGGAGGACTGGGGGCGTGGCACGGCCGCCAGAGGGCGAGGCTTCGATGGACACTCCCCAGTAGCAGGTCCTGGGAAACTAACTTGCGAGTGGCACTTGTTAAGTGCTGTAGGAGAATCGTCCAGGTAAGAATGGGCAGCCGAATGGAGTGGGAGCCTCAGGGAGGATGCACAGACCCAGAGGGGGCCACAACCCTTCCCACGACCCTCCACGGCAACGATCCGGGGCTCTGGGCAGTGACAGCTGTTGATTCTCCGAGTCTTGCTTAAGTTCCCGCGGGCCTGATTGGGCGTTGTCATCTCTGCTTCAGTCCCCCTGTCTCCACTATTAAGAGTCACCAGACTCATAGTTCTTTTGCAGTTGACAGACTTTGTGAGGGAGGAGCAGCCCCTTCAGAGGGCATGTCGCCAGAGTTGGTTGAATCTAAATAAGAAAGTCCAACCTGTTAAGAAACAGCTGGAAACGAGGACAAAAGCTACCAATTCTGAGGCTTCTCTCAGAAACTGAGGTGCAGTTAAGTCAAGACTTTGGTGTGATGTTTCTTCTTCATCCCTCACCCCCATTAAGCAAGGAGCCGGGGCCAGGCTCACAGCCATCCCTACGCTGTGGAGTACTGTCCCAGCTGTGCTTGAAAAAACTCAAAAATTTTCCCTCTGAAATTACTCCTGGCCTTAACTTTTTTTGCGCCCTGCCCAAGACCTAGAGGAGAGGTACCTCCAAAATGAAGAATGGCTGGTGGCTGCCATTCTCTGCAACATTCCTTGTTAATTAAGTATTTCTGTCCTGAGAAAGCTTGTGGCAGCTTGTTAATATCTATGTCAGTGTCCACCCTTTCCATGTACTTCCCCTGAGAAGGACTGAGAAACATTAGGAGCTACTGGGCACACCTTAGTTCAGAAAACACTTGTGTCTTCTCAGCCATGGAAAACCATTTTGCTTTCTGCTTCCTAGTCTCCCTTTGTTGATACTCTGGTGTCTTCTGTACGTGCTGCTGTTTAAGAGCTGGGCTGGATTATGGAGTAACCCCTGTTTTTCTTGTGAGTGAAACTGCCACGAATCCCTTAGCAGGCCCTGCCTATTGCTCAGAGTAGGGGGTATTTGGTCACAGATATATTGGAAGTATACTTTTTAGGAGTTTCCCCCTTAATTCACAACCTTTAAAATCGGGCTAGAATTCCTTGAAGGCCAAAGCAGCAAGGGTACCATTCTCATATGGGAGTCATCCTCCCAGGGAAGAAGGGGGTGAGGGGAGGAAGCTAAGCTTTCTCTGTCGAGATTTGGCAAGATAATCTCTAATTCAGATTTGAGGAGTTGCAAAAGACCTGCTTCCTTTTGAAATCAAGAGTCAGTCTGATGAGAAACAAACCATTTCTTTCTGTGTGATTGTAACCTTTATTCAGAGTACATTTTCTTTCTGCTATCTCTTTTGTAGAAAGTTTAATCAAGCAGAGTTCAAACTACTTATCACAGTAACTGCACAATTTATGAATGATTCTCTAATAGCTTTTTACATCTTCTCCTAACATTTCTAAGTCTGTAAAACAGCAGACATGTCAATAAAAGTCCAAGGATCTACATATCGAATTTGTGATAGCAAAGGGTACATATGTAGAAAGTTTAGCTTCCCTGTGGCACATTGATGCATCTATATGAGCAAATGTAAACAGGTAAATTTTTCATGAAATGCGATAATATGTAGTAGTAGAACATTGAGATGTGGTATGTTTGAGAGTTAAAGTCATTTATTGTTTAACAAGGCTGGACAATGTGAGTTCATTAAGTTATAAATAAGCAACTCTTAAGAAATTGTTACTTCCAGTTTAACAGAAAGGATCGACCCTAGACCTGAACATTAAAAAACTCAAGTATTGATCTGGAGAGATGGCTCAGAGGTTAAGAGCATTGACTGCTTTTCCAGGGGTCCTGAGTTCAAATCCCTGCAACCACATGGTGGCTCACAACCATCTACAATTCAATCTGGTGCCCTCTACTGGCATGTAGGTAGAACACTGTATATGTAATAAATAAATCTTTTTTTAATTTTAAAAATTTTTAAATTTAAATTAGAAACAAGGTTGCTTCACCTGTCAATCCCACGTCCCTCTCCCTTTCCCTCCCCTCCTCTCATGTCCTCCCACCAGCCCCCCAATACCCCCTTCCTTCCCCAAGGAGGGTAAGGCCATCCATGGGGGTGTCCATAGTCTGTCATTTCATCCAGGACAGGGCCTAGACACTCCCCCAAGAGTCCATGGTGAGAGTGCATTTCTCATTGTGGGATGGTCACCCAAAGTCCATTTGTATGCCAGGGATAAATACTGATCTACTATCTAAGGCCCAATAGATTACCTAGGCCTCCTCACTGACACCCATATTCAGGGGGTCTTGATCAGTCCCATGCTGGATTCCCAGGCATCAGTCTGGGGTTCAAGAGTTAACCCTTGTCAGGTCAGCTGTTTCTGGGGGTTAAACCAGCCCAGTTTTAACCCCTTTGCTCATCAGTCCTCCCTCTGTCATTAGGTTCCTTGAGTTCAGTTCAGTGTTTAGCTGTGGGTGTCTGAACCTTAAGAAAAAAAAAAAGAAAATGGGGGTAGTAAATTAAAAAGAAACTCAAGTTTTGTTATAGATTCTGTAGTCGTCTAGCATTAATTAGGTAGGTTTCTAATTATTCAGATTTTCTTGGAGCTCTCTTCACCCCTGACCATCCATGTTCAATTTCTTTCTGGACTTATTGTTCCTTTGTGGTCGGCTATACCTTAATTGTCCCTTTCTGTATCTGTAACTCTTGGAGGGAGCTGATTTTCCTTTTTGTCTAGCTTTGTACCCACTCCTGCACACAGAACAGCATTGCTCACTATCCCGGATCTTTCCTCTTGGCTCTCCCATTGGAGTCTCCAGTCAAGTACAGTAGATGGCGAGACCACCATGTTTCCCTTTTCCTCGTGTCAGGGTTTGTTTCTGTGTCGTCTTATTCTACCTGCTGTGCAATCACGATGCCTTCTTCTATTCATTCATCATAAACCCTGCCACCTTTTTAAAATATCAAAATGGCATTCTGCTGCTGAGCTACATTCTCAGACCTTTCAGGGCCATTTTGTTGCTGTGGTTTGTTTGAAGTTTTGTTTATTTTAGCTCTGACTGGCCTGGCATTTGCTAGGTAGCCCAGACTGAGGACAAACTCATCATGATCCTTCTGCCTCAACTTCCCAACTTCTGGGATTATAGATATGTACCACACCCAACTCCAAGGGATTTTTAAAATAGTTAACACTGAGTGATCTTACATAAATAAAAATCAGATTGCTACTCCTTTACTCAAAAATCCCCATTTTTGCCCTCATTTCACGGAGAACACTGTTCTCAACCTGGGACAACCTTTTCCACCAGGCAACATCTAACACTGTTTAGAGACCTTTTTGTTTTTCCAGCTCTAGTGTAGGTGCTATTAGCTTTTACTGGAACCTAGATAGTAGGGATGCTGATAAATACCCTACAATGCACAGGACAGCCTCTTGAAACCAAGAGTCTTCTAGTTAACATGCCAAGGTTGAGAAACCTTGATTTAGAGAAAGAAACATTATTATGGTATAGATGTCTACAGTATGCAACATCCATTGACTTGGATCTCATCTTCTGTTTTTATCCTGGTCACTTTACTTTGGCCATCTTAGCCTCGTAACTACCCCCTTTAATATGTCAGTTATGTTCTACTTCAGGTTTTTGCACAAATATTTTGCCTTACCTAGAATGTCTTTTATTTAGATAGCTATTTAACAGATTATCTACCCTTTGCAGTCCTTAGCTCAAATAGCATCTTGTCAATGAGGCCACATCTAACTCTCCCACCCTAGTGGCACTCCAGATTCACTGTTTCCTGATCTATATAGCATTGAACATACTTGAATCTCCTCTACAACTGACTTACCACACTACTTATCTACTATCTATTTTTGCTTAGTTCCCCGAGCTTAGAAGAGTGCCTGGCCTTCAACAGGGGTTCAGTTGTTATCTAAAAATGAAGGCCAGGTGGTGGTAGTGGTGCATGCCTTTAATCTTAGCACACAGGAGGCAGAGACAGGCAGATCTCTGTGAGTTCGAGACCAGCCTGGTCTACAGAGTGAGTTCCAGGGCAGGTTCCAAAGCTACAGAGAAACCCCATCTTGAAAAAGAAACAACAAACAAAGAAACTGAAAAGGAATGAAGGGTGATTGACATAATCACCTCCTTGACTTGTGCGGGTCTACTCTGCCTGCTGTTCCCCATCCCGTGCTCTTCAGCTAGACCTACCAGAAAGCATCCATTACACGGAATTACATCCAAAATGCTTCTAGGCTCTTGGAAACATGAATTCTCCCACATGAATCTCAGAACCTCATCCAGCCCTGCCTTCCACTACATGCCCTGGTATTTGCTGGGGCAATGCAATTAAGGTACTAATAGAAGGCTTGGGATAGTGGGAAGCAGGGTCAGAAATCTCTTCACCTGATTTCAAAACAGATATTTGGATTTTTTTTAAAATATGGTCTTTTCAAAAGCCAGGCTTGATTTGAACTCCCTGTGCGGCCAACCTTAAAGTTCTTGTCCTTCTGCCTCTCCCTCCTGAGTTGTGAATACTAGGACTACAGGCTTGAGTCACCCTGCCTGCTTTTTGGGGTACTGGGGATCAAGCACAGGGCTTCATACATTTTAGGCAAGCACAGTACCAACCAAGCCACATCGTCTGTCCCCTGGTGTTGCTGTGTTTTGTTCATGTGACACTAAAGAAAGTCTGAAGAGCCAGGGTAACCTACAATGAGGTAAGCAACAGAGGTTCAGATTTCCACATCACTACAGGCCCTTCTGGAGCATGACAGAGTAAGGGTGACATCAGGTCCTCTATAGCCTTTCTGACCCCCCAGGCCTAAAAAGCCAGTCTTGGGATGCATAGAAGTGCTTCTTCTGGGCCAGGTGTTAGGGATTATCAGCCTAGATGTTGTTATGTGACAGGGTGATTGTTGAGCGTGTGGCATTCATCTGTGTTGATTCTCAGCTTGCCAAACAGCTCAGCCTCACCTCAGGGATTTCCTGATGGCCATGTGAGAAATGCAGTCATAAGAGATGTTTCTCGGGGAACCATGCCCCCCGAGAG